ATACAAATGCCTGGTAAACAGCCGAAAAGATGCTTCACCTACAGATAAGCAGCGGCCACGGGTGTGAAGCACAGCACAGAGAACGTGGTCAACAATATTGTAATAACTATGCACAGAGTCAGGTGGGTCCTAGAATTATAGGGGGAATCACTCCATAAATTAGACAAATGTCTAACTGCTATGCTGTACACCTGAAACCATCAATAACAGGAAATACTGAGTGTCAAGTGTAATCAGTAAATCAAATAGAAAAATACATAAACAACAATGAAATCCCATCATGCACTTCTGTGGTCTGAAGAATAAAAAGTACGATGATTCCAAGTCCAAGTACCTCTGCCGCTCTAAGCTTCTAGCGGGCATTTTTACATTAAATATAAACATTTTTAACATATTCCGTTCTTTTTAGCTCTTGGTGTCTCCCCAAGGAAAGGTGCGCGCTGGCCGCTCAGAGTCACAGCAGGAGAGAAGTGGGCACGTCCACGCCCGCCCTGTGGGGGCCTCCCGTGAAGCTGGCATGGCCAGGGGACTCCTGAAAAGGGTCCGCCAACGGTCCCCCACCCTGGCGACAGGATTCCTTCCAGGGAGGGGACTTAGGTTTCTCTGAAATGGTTCAACTTTTATGAAGAGATTGTGACATTTAGGAAAAATAAATATTGAGCCCTGGCTGGTGTGGCTCAGTGGATTGAGCGCCGGCCTGTGAACCAAAGCGTCGCCGGTTTGATTCCCAGTCAAGGCACCGGCCTGGGTTGTTGGCCAGGTCCCCGGCGGGGGCAAGTGAGAGGCAACCGCATATTAATGTTTCTCTCCTTCCTTTCTCTTCTCTCTAAAAATCAATCAATAAAATCTTTTAAAAAATAGAAAACACAAACATTGAGGTGCAGAGATGCGCCCTCCATGTGAGACGGCCATCGTGGATGTGGCGGAGCCCATGGTGCCTCCCCCAGGCCCACATCAGCCCTGACCCGACGGAGGCGCCTCCGGGAGCCTGGCCTGGGTGCTGCCGTTCCAGGGCGAGTGGGACCCTAGGATCAGGGCCCCAGGTCCAAGCCCCCCACCTCCTTTGCCTCCGTCCCCCAGGACGTCCCAAATGGACACTGGAGCATCCCTGATGGGGGAGCCGAGGAAATGAAGAAGGATGTTAGTTACGCAGCAGAAGGACGTGTTCAGTGACATCACATGTTCCTAAGACGGGGACTGTCTCTCCAGTCCCAGCTGGCTACACTTCAGGACAATAATGACAGCCTGCCAGAGGGCACCCAAGTCTCAGGCGACCAGGGGGTAGTGAAGGGCAGGGGTATCACTAGCTCCTCATACGTCGTTCTGCACTCTCACCATTTCAGGTCGCGCTGGCGCAACCTCCTAGGTGCAGAGAACAAAGACCTCGAAGCCACCAGGGAGTCCCCACATCCCATCGCTCAGCAAATCCCACCTCCCCACCTCTGAGATTTAGTGTCTGCCATGACGAAGTAACAGCTTGAGCTTAAGCCGACCCAATGAGGTATTTTTTTTTAAAAAAAGGTTTTATTTATTTATCTTGAGAGAGGGGGGAAGGGAGGGAGAAAGGGAGGGAGAGAAATATCGATGTGTGACGGTTGCCTCTCACACGCTCCCAACCGGGGACCCAGTTCGCAACCCAGGCATGTGCCCTGACTGGGAATCGAACCAGTGAGCTTTTGGTTTGCAGGCCGGCATTCAGTCCACTGAGTCACACAAGCCAGGGCTGAGGGTTTTTTTAAAAAATTATTTATTTATTTATTTTTAGAGAGAGAGGGAGGGAGGGAGAAGGACATCATTGTGCTAGAGAAACATCGATCAGTTGGCTCTCACATGCCCCTATCTGGGGACCTGGCCAGCAAGCCAGGCATGTGCTCTGACCGGGAATGGAACCAGTGACCCTTCAGTTTGCAGGCCAGCACTCAACCCACTGAGCCAGACCAGCCAGGGCTCTGGGATATTAATATGCTCAGAATTCCCCTTCTTCCCACCTTCACTGTCTGCCTGGTCCAGCCACCATGACTTCCTTCATGGACAATTACAGCTGCCTCTTCACTGGCCTGGTGGCTTTGCCTGGCACAGTCTGCTGCCCACGTGGCTGTCACAGGGATCCTGTTAAAAATGGCAGCCCCTGTCCCTCCTCTGCCCTGACCCCTCCTGGTGGCTACTGCCTCACCCAGAGCAAAAGTCAAAGTCTTTATGTAGGTTTTAACACATGCATGTGAACATGCTTTTATGAACAGAATAAAAGAGAATAGAAAATAACAGAGTGCTTCACATGTGGCAAGGGAAAGTATAGCTAAGCAAAACTTTTGTTCTAACAAGACATTAATATACAATGTATGATAATAAAATATAACCCATATTATATAATGCAAACAATATGGTTTATATGTTTATAATACATGTTAGGTATATATATCTATATGTATCTGTAGTTTTTATGAAATAGAATGCAATAAAATAGGTAATAGACTGCACATATTAAAGGATTTAATGAAATTATATGTACACACATACAACATATAATGTACAATATTATGTTACATATTTCACAGAACATTTTTTTGGGGGGGAACCTAAAAAACCCCCGGAATTACCATATCTTTTGGAGGGTGGGCCTCTGTGGTACAGGCTTCCCTGCTAGGGGAATGTTCTAGGAACCCATCTGCATCAGTGTACCAGCTGGTGTTGTTGTGAGAGGCTGCATTTGACTTCAGCGAATTTTTTTTGAAGACTCTTCCAACGCGTTTGCACATTTCATGATGGGTGATTTACAAGTGCACCTGCCCACACCACGCTGAGAGTTCAGCAGTTTTTGACCCAAAATGGCATGACCCATGTCCCACCCTCCCTATTCACCTGATTGCTCCCTGAGTGACTTTGTTTCCCCAGATGAAAAAAGTCCTCAAAGAGAAATGCTTTGCAGATGTGGAAGAGGTGAAACAAACAAACAAACAAAAAAACCGCAGAAGCACAAAAAGGCATCAAAATAGACAAGTTCAAAAAATGTTCTGAGCAGTGGAAAAAAGTCTCGATAGGTGTATTGCATCAAATGGAGGGTACTTTGAAGGTGACTGACATTTAAACATGTAAGAATACATACACAATTTTTTATGAATAAATTCCATTTTGGGGGTCCCCCCATATGTTCCATTATATATTATATACAATGTAACGTAATGCACTAATTACGCACTGTTTATGATACACGCTTAGGGCGAATTGTGAATCACCATATAAATACTGTCTGTATGTGGTGGGCTGCATAAGCTATCCGTGGAGACTGAGGTGGAGACTGAGATCCGTGTGCAGCAGGTTAGGGCGGAGCCTCCCGGGCGCAGCTCCTGGGGGTGGGGACTGAAGGAAACAAGACTGGGCGGGGAGAAGCTGAAGTGAATGCAGTGGCCCGCGGTCCATCTGACGGGGCGCCTGGAGCTCGTAGGACCCTCCGCTTGTGCCAGCTGAGGCAAGGGGGCTGGCCTTTATTCTCCTCACCCCTTCACCCATCCCTTTCCCCTCACTTCCTCTATTCCAGGGGTTGGTAAACTCTTTATGTAAAGGGTTAGGCAGCAAATGTTTTCACCTTTGAAGGCTGTATGGTATCTATAGCATATATTCAATTCTGCTATTGAAAAAAGGATGAGTGGGGCTGTGGACGCTGGACTTGGCCTCGGTGCTTTAGCCCCCGAGTCCCTGCTCTGTTCTGACAACAGAACCTCTTGCTGTCCCGGAACAGGCCAATCCCACACCTGCTTCGGCGCCTTCATACGTATCAGCAGCCCTTCCTCACTCCCAGGCAGCTGCTTGCAGGGCGCATCTCAAACCGTCTTTCCTCCCTTGTTCCTCCCTGACCCCCTTGGTCTAAATCAGCCATCCTCATACTCCTGAACTTTGACACTGGGGTAGTTCTTTACTCCTCCTCCTCCTCCTTCATTTTCAAATTTTTAAAAATGAATTCGACTGAGTGCTGGCCTGCAAACCAAAGGGTTGTTGGTTCAATTCCCAATTAGGGCAGATGCCTGGGTTATGGGCCAGGTCCTCGGTTAGGGGTGCGCAAGAGGCAACCACACATTTATGTTTGTCTCCTTCTTTCTCTCTCTCCCTTTCCCTCTCTCTAAAAGGTAAATAAAATCTTTAAAAAATATATAAATAAAAATTGACTTGAGAGAGAGAACTATCAATTCGTTGCTCCACCCATCCATGTAGTCATTGGTTGATTCTTGAATGTGCCCCGACTGGGAACTGAACACACAACCTTGGTGCATTGGGACAACGCTCCAACCAACTGAGCCACCCGGCCAGGGCAGTTCTTTACTTTTTTGCTGTCCCTCTCTCGCACCAGATGTTAGCTCCATAATGTCTTCTTCTGGGCTGATACTCATCTGCTAGAATGGGGCCAGGCGTGCACTGGGTGCTCAGAAAACATCTGGTTAATGTGTGGGTAGACGATGCCCATTCATTCTCCTTCGGGTGTGCTTCTCCTCCGCTCTGTCGTTGGGGCTGGGGACCCAGCCTAGCCGCTCAGCATCAAGTGGCTTGAATAGGGATGACCGTAAGGGCCAAGGGATCAGGCAGGGGCTTTATGAAGTCCTATTTTCTCCTGGGTGGCTCTGTCCAGGCAAGGGCCTGCGCGATGGGGAAACCAACGTAGGGGACCATGTGGTGCACCAAGAGATGGCAGAGGCAGAGCCCTCAGACACAGTTTGAGGTTCTTGTGAGCCAGTGTGCCTGGGTTTCTGTTCTTTCCTCCCTAAAGTCTTGAGTACCTCGGGGGGAGGGGTCTGGATTCAGCCTGGTCCCTCATTCCCAAATAACCAGACGCCAGGCAGGTAACACTGGGGAAAAAAAATGTCTCCTGCGCAGGAGGGCTGAGGCTGTCTCAGTCACCACTGGGACCCCACCCGGCACGGAACAGGGCAGGGCACATAGCAGGCAAGGAGTGAGTTTCTTAAATGAAAGAATAAACAAAGGACATTTTTGCTAAGGCTAACAGGGGTCTTTCAAATATGAAAAAAATAAAGGGAGCAACTTGAAGACAACCAAGTTGAATTACAAATTTATTCTAACCCCTCTCCCCGAGTCACACATGCATACAGAATTTTTGCTAGTTGGGAATTCAGAGTGATGAACCTGAGCCGTCCATTGCCTGGCCTCGGGCCTTCTGAGAGGGGGCTCTTCACACTTCACGCCCCCTGATCCCATGCCCCACCCAGTGGGTGAAGCCGCTGCATCCCACAGGACTGGCCACGTGCCAGGACTCGTAGGGCCGAGTTTCCAGCCTCACAGACGTGAGTGCAGCACTGCCTCGGGGCCAGGATGGCGCAGGGGTTAGGGGCTCGGGCTCTGGCCCCGACTGCCCATCTTCATGATGTCCCACCTCTGTCTCCTTCCTGCTTGTGTGGCCTCGGGCATGTGACTTTCCCTCTGTATGCCTTAGTTTCTTCATAAACAAAACAGTTAATTGGGGTTGCACAAAGCATTTAGAACAATGCTCAGCACCTTTCCAGAGCTCAATGAATTCCACCTGACTGCTGTTTATTGACACGATGGGGTGGGGCGCTTGCAGTCACTGTCCCTGGCGGCCAGCAACCCGCGCTCCAGAGCTGTGACAGCGCCGTGAACCACTCAGGGGTAACAATGGGAACCAGGCGCTGAGCCCGCTCACCTGGCTTCTCCGTCCACCCGCCTTTCACGCAGTGGTATCTCTTGCCTTCATTTCACCTCATCATTGAATCATTGAACCTGCTCAGGTCACACCTACTTAAAAAAAAAAAAAATCCACCCAGGACCCATCTCCTTGGCTCCCTCTACACCAGCTTCTCCCCTTCTTCTACAAAGGATTAGACATTTCAGAACCTGTTCCCGGTTTTCTATCAGGTCTTGTGTCCAGGTCATTTTTAACCCCCCAGGGAAGTGAAGTAAGGAAGCGGCAGGGAGGGAATCCGCCTCTCCCATCGCCCAGGTGAGATGAATCTAAGCGCCGTCAATGACTGCGAAGATCTCAGGTGCCCCATGGCTGCTCTGATAGGGGACAGGCCATCCACTCCGAACACTGCCTCTGGGGTCTCTGTAGAGATTCCCCCCTTTCTCCCACTGATCTTCCTCCCTCGTCTTCCTCCTTGCTCTGCACCTGTACTCCGGCACCCTGCACCCAAATTAACCTGGGTTCCTCTCTGGTTCCCCCTGCCCTCTGTGCCCCTGACTCCCGCCCCTCACTGGCTTCACAACCTTGGGCAAGTCCCTGAGCCTGTTTCCCCTTCTGGGAGAGTTCATAGGATGACTCTCGATTCATTCACCCCATCCGATCTCTCTCAGCTTCTCTCCTAATTTAAATGAGCTTTGTATCCATTCTGGAAATCCATACAATGGTTCTCAAACACATCCTTAAAATGATTTCCTCCTTTAATTGGGAGACACCTACAGTCTGAAAAATGGAACAGGCTGGTGGGGCCCACACCCCTCCCTGCTTCTGTGGTGAGTTCTGGAAGAGAAACCAAGAAGTGAAGGCTAGTTCCTGGACTGTTCCTCTTATGTGGGGAAGTCCGAATGTTCCACGGGGTTGGCAGGAGTCCAAGCACACTCCTGGGCTGGGGGAGGTGTAGTGGGTTGAATGGTAACCCCCACCCCCAAAAAAGATGTTTACATCCTTACCCATTGAACTTGTGAATTGGAGTTTATTTGCAAAAAGGGTCTTGCCTAGCTCTGGCTGCTGTGGCTCAGCGGACTGAGTGCCAGCTTGCAAGTCAAAGGGTCTCCGGTTTAATTCCCCGCCTAAGGCACATGCCTCAGGACCCCAGTAGGGGGCGCACAAGAGGCAACACACATTGATGTTTCCATGTCTTCCTCTCTTCCCCTCTCTAAAGACAATTAAAATCTTTAAAAAAATAAAATAAAAAGGAGTCCTTCCTAGATTGAGGGTGGTCCTAAATCCAATAACTGAGTGTCTTTATAGGAACACCTGGAGACACCAGGAGCTGGAGGATGAGACAGGGAAGGATCCTTCTCCAGTAGAGTTTTTGGAGGGACTGTGACCCTGCTGACACTTGATTTTGGGTCGGTGGCCTCTAGATCTGGGAGAGAATAAATCCTTGTTGTTTTAAGCCACCAAGTTTGTGGTAATTTGTTACGGCAGCCCCAGGAAATTACTAAAGAAGGTAAGACCAACTAGGGGCCAAGACCAGTGAGGGGGCTCTTGGGGCTTGCGGAGGCAGGAGGTACCACTGCATGAAGAGGGGCTGCCGGACCGCGGGGCCGCGGCTCCAGGGCAGGTGGGCAAAAGCACACAGGTGAACCCATTTAAATGCAGCGTGGGAGATGCGATCATCGAATCCACGGCTGCAGCTGCCTGGAAGAGGCCACTGAAGGAGACATTAGGAAAGGCCGAGTCAGGAAAGGCCCAGGGACTCTGGGGACGAGTAGACTGAAAGAAAGGCTGAATTAGCCTTAGGCACGATAAATTTCTCCACCACATAAGGGGGGTTGGGAGGGCATCGTGTGAGACCAGCATAGCCATTCCCGTGGGTTGTGCCACAGACTGAAGGATGAGGGGGTTCTGTTGAAATATTCCTCCTGGGGACTGAAGAGAAGGTATCTCATGGATCAGGTTAAGAAAAGATATTCAGTGGATAGATGGCAAGCCTTCCTCTCCCCCTCAAAGAGAGGGGTGGTGCCCGACTACAGCCCACCTTAGAGGGCGAGAGGGACAGAGGCCCACTGAAAGACACTGCGTGTCTGACAATGAATGGTCTGTACCAACTGGTAAAAGGGGGTGTTCGGTGTAACGGACGAGTGTCCCAGGGAAAGGTAACACCGATCAGGTAAATGGGGAGCTTGACAGGTTGATTCGGCTCAAGTCCAACTTCTTTTCTTCTTCCGCCAGAAGGGTGGGCGTGCTGTCCTGCAGTCTGGGACCTTGTTCGGTCCGTGTGGTTTGGGACGGGGATGGAGAGGCGAGTACTGCGGGCTGTACCAATGAGCTACAGGTTGGAGGGGACAGTCCCAGTGGAACGTACCATTGGTCAGTAGCGGGTGACCAAAGACCAAGTTCATCAAGATTCCGGTGGTTTCCGCTGGGCCCGCACAGGCTGGGTATTGCGGAAAGGAGGCCACATTAGGGCACACAGGGCCATATCCAAGTTCAGGCTTCAGCAGCTGCCTGTTTCTCCGACGCAGACACTGCCTTGGGCGTGGACCGCGCACCCCCCTCCCTGACGTAGAGCTGGGCGCGCACCTCCTGCATCTGCGCCCGCAGCTCTTCCAGGGCGCTCGGTGCCACCGCCTGCTGCACCTGCGTCTGCAGCGCCTCGACAGCCAGCGCCAGGCGGCCCACCTCGTCCTGCATCGCGTCCCAGGCGGCGCGCTGCTCCTCCTCCTTGTGGCGCTGCTGCGCCTGGTGGCGCCAGTACTCCAGCACCAGGCAGCCACCGCCCACGATGAAGATGGTGGCCTCGCCCAGGAGTTCGGCGCCCAGCTCGGCGGCCGCCTCCTCGTTCAGCGGCTTGATGGCTGTGCCCCGGAAGCCCATGATGCGCATCTTGGTCCGCATCTCCACCCAGTGGTACACTGCAGGGGGAGAGAGGGGTCAGGCCGCGCTCCGGAGCCCCCGCCAGCCCCACCCCAGCACGCCTGTGTCCAGGTGGGAGCGACGGCAGCGCGGCACACAGGGCCGCCAGGGGGCGCTGTCGGTGAGCTGCTCCGGCCTCGCCTAGAGAAAGCCGAGTCACCCGGCGTGGGGTGATCCTGAGGGCGTCTTTTTAAATTGCCCAGTAGATTCTGGCTAACGGCCAGGAAATAGAAACCGTGCCCGGAGGGGAGGTCCTCAGACTGGGGGCTGCAACCCTGGAGGGTCACCAGGAGCCCCCAGAGCACCAAGCGCCTGGAAGGTGTAAAGGCTGTTGCCAGGCGGCAAGCTCCTTCTGCCCCTCCCTCAAGCCATAGCGGGCCAGCCCTGTCCTCCCCAGGAGAAAGGACGACCCCCTTTCTTTTCGAATTTTCCCAAAATGCAGTGTTAGGGCTGCGGCAGAGGGGGGCCTCCTGGATCCAAGGAAAGGGCAGCTGAAATGTGGGAATTGATGTTAAGTGACTGAAAGCGTGGTAACAACCAATCCTTTGTAGGGCTGGTGGCTCCTAATTTGTCCATCAGCCCCAAGGGGGGAACTAATAGTTGTGAGCTCTTCAAGGTGCGGTTTTGGAAACACACCCTAGAAGCTCAAGAGTTGACTAGTGCAGCTGGAACAGAAATTGCGTTGCCTGGCTGCTGCTTTTGTGAAGGAAAAATCTCAGCGCTCGAGTCCTAAAGCCCAAGACAGAATTGATGCTAAACCCTGACTTACTCCTGTAATAATTCATCCAAGGACACATGAAATGAATGGGGTGCCCTGCCTGGCTTATGTGGCGATTCATTTCCAATATATAATTTTACTTTTAATGTTTAATAATTACTCATGAAAATACACAATACACTAAATGCTTTATGTTAATTATGCACTAATAATTTTAAAGGTAATTCAATCCAGAAGAAAATATTTTAACATTTAGAACACACCTTAAAGTCACAGGAAATTAAGTAAAATTAAAATTTTACTTTCTGTAAGTATTTTGGTTGATGATGCATAATTCTGTCTGGAAGGGAACTGTAAGTTAGGTTCAGGGACAAAAAAGGAAGAATGTAAAATTTCTGACTGTAAAGAAGAGCTTGTTCTTTTTTTTTCTTTTTCAAGCTGGACACTGGCGGGCACCAAGTCACCAGCGTGGGTGGACTGCGTTAGATACTTCGGAGGAAGGATGCGCCAGCTGTTTGAAAATGTCAATATTTATGACACATGACAAATTATATCCTTTGCAACTATTTGAACTTTCAAAGAGAAGTTTTAGATGTCAACTTGAAAATGCACTAGAAGGTATATAATTTTTCAATTTTTAAAGGGGCAGGCAGCGCTCCACAGTAGCTGCTGCCTCCTTCTGCCGCTCCTGGGGCTGCGTGTGTGCCTGTTCCGTGCGGACCGGCACCTCTTTGGTGAAGCAGGGGCTGAGGGGACCCTGGTGCTCACCATGGCCACTGGGAAGCCCAAGGAAGGAGTCCAAACGGACAACAGCGGTCATGCTAATCTGAAGGTGGCGAGGCAGGATGGCTCTGTGGGGCAGTGTAAGACTGAGGTATATACCTCTTAGTGAACTAGCAACAGCGTACGTACTGCGAACGACAGGGTTCGTCAGTGAGACCGATGGGATTCTGGTCTTAGGGGAGGGCGGGTCACTGAAACAGACACAGCAGCGCACTTGGACGTGGAGGATGAAGATGGAGTTGATATGTCCAGCAGCAGACGGGGGTGCCCACTAAAAAGGGAGCCTCTGCTGGGGCCCGGAACTCTGCTCCTCCAGACCAAGAAGACATTCCCGCTAGGAAAGCTGCGATTTGGTCCCGCCACATCCTGAGTACCACAGGATCGTGTTCTCTGTTCTTTCATTTTCCCCTTCCCCCTTCCTTTCTTGTACATCAAATAACTTATGTATGTGCACAAGCATGTGCATTTTTTTAACTAAATGGTCAGTGGTATGTTTTGACCAACATCACGTGGAGATGGGCTGGGGCAAATACTGGTTTTCCTTTCCCATCACGGGCACGCTCATTCAGCTCTGATCTTTACGTTCCAGTAAGTTATGCGGCTCTCACTGTTGAACAAAAAAAAGGACCCCGGCATCATTCCTTGCATACCTTGTTCGACTGGAAAATTTTAATGTTTTTCATTTATCATCGTAAAACCAAGGATGATTTTATAACTTTTTGTATGTGCCTGTTACATGGAGGACGATCTGTCTTTAAGTGAGGAAAAATTACTCTAAAACGTTTGACAAGCGCTGCCTGGAGCTGGCAGTGAGCTCAGGCGAGCGTATCCGGGGCCCTCTCAGCAGCAGCCGCCGCTGCGGCCACTGCCATTACTAACTGTCCCACACGCAGTGGTGGTGTGGGACACCTGGCGTCCAGGCTATAGAGACCCCGCCCCACACCAAGGTCCTAGCGTCAGGCCAACCTCGTGTCTACCTGGGGCTCCGCACCTACAGCCTGGGCGATGACAGCCCCCTTTGCGCCACCTCTGTGAAACAGGGAGAGCACATGATCCAGTCCCGATGACCATCGACCAGCCCAGGGCCTACTGTCACCTGCTCCTTTATGTCAGGAGAACAGCAGCTGGAGAGCAGCAGGGAGCCCCAGACGGGCTTGTGCTGGCGCTCCTCGGCGAGCGACCAGCGCCTCTGTGTAGACGGGGCGTGGGGACCTGGGCCCGCGCGGGGGTCTGGGTGTGCGAATGGGAGTGAGCACATGCGGGGTGCGGCGCCCATCCAGAGCAAAGGCAACTGACTCAAAGGGTGGGGGCGAGGGGGGAGGGAGAGAGAGAGAGAGAGATAGAAGTTTCAGAGTAGGGGCCCATGCGATCTCTCTCAGGCCAGGGGCCAGACTTGTGGTTCAGGAAACAAGGTCTAGGTGGGAATGGAGGGCTGGGGGAAAGGGGTACCATGTGAGGCGCCAGGATGCAACCAGACTGAGGACTGTACCGCACTGATGTCCAACAGGCCCCTGGAGGTGTCCCAGGCACTTGGCATTCATGTCCAAACCTGGCCTCAGCTTCCCCACGTACTTTCTCCTCCCCCTCAGTCCGTCCTGTCACCAGGTCAGAGACCTGGGGCTCAGGTGTTCCCCTCCCCGGGAGCCTCTCAACCACAGGTCTAATCCTTTGTGCCTCCTGAATGTCTGTCTCTCCCATACCCTCTTCCCCAGTCCTGGGTCCAGGCTCCATCCCGGCCCTGACCAATGTCCCCTCCCTGGCTTCCCTATTCAGGGACCTTCAGTTCCTCCTGTCGCTGTGTATTCCCTCAGAGCAGCCACCACAGCTGGAATGGTTCTGTCATTTGGTCGCTTGTCTGTGCTCTGTCTCTCACACTGCGTATGGGAAAGTACATGCGGACGGAGCCCAGGGCAGCCGCAGTGAGCGCTGTGTCAGTGGGTCCCTGCCCCAGCCTCCTGCTCATCCCCGGTCCAGCTCAGCCCCTGCAACTACCATCCATGCAGCAGTCAGGGTCTGGTTAAGGGACAACCACCAAAACCAAAGAACTACCATGGTCTTCACTAACACTTTATGAAAATAAAGTACACAAACTACAGCGTTAAAAGTCAAAGTCCCCTGCTCCTGGCCCTGATCCTCAGACCCGCCTCACCACCCCCCGCCCCAAACCCTGCCCTAGTCAGCCTTTCCCCCCTCACATCGCCTCCCCAACGGCTGACCATGGGCGGACATCACTCATCTCTATTTGAGTTTTTCAGCTGGAAATCTGCTTGTATTTATTTGCACAAGTCCTCTCTGTGGATGAGTGCTGGCGCCCATGCGGCACCCCCGCCGCCTCCCCATTTGTGCGCGTGACTTGGATACACTTCTTAGTCCTCTATTATTCTTTTTTTAGAGTCACAACAATAGAAATGCTTTTTACTGACTCAATTGTAATGATGTCATAATACTGGAAACATGGACGGGATGATGCTAAGTCCTCATCTACAGCACCATGAAATAATGTCATAATTTAATACATCAAGAAACAGTAGAAGTTTGTTACTTAGGAACAGAAAAGAAAGTACCCAAGTAAATAGCTTAAAATAGGTCCAAGGTGCTTACTTGTGGGGAAGAGGATAGGGGTGGGGAAAAACAGGCAGAGGCATCCTTTTTCACAAGCCTTTAGGTATTACATTATTTTTAATTGTATTATTACTTTAATAAGTAACTTAAAATTTAAGAGAGAAAGCTCATACAGTAAATGTACTCCAGTTAACAACAGATCCAACACTATAGAAAAAAATAATGATTCGGGAAAATCAGTTCATGTAATTCTCCCAATACTTGGCGTGAAAGATGATAAGCAAAAAGAGCAGAGGCCTGGAAGCAGCCTGCAGGGCAGGAGCCGCGGAAGGAACGCTCAGAGCAGAGGCAGCAGACGCTATCAGCAGAGACATCACTGCGGGAGGACCTGCCTGGACCGCTAAAGGCTCCGGTAGACCCGGGACGGGACAGACCAGCCGTCAGGGAAATAAAAGAAATCCACGCGGAGGGCACCCATCCTCCCTTCCATGGCGCTGAATGCCAGCAGAGAGCGGGAAGCTGTAAAACCCTGCCTGGCCGGGTGGGGATGCGGGTGGGGATGCGTGGGAGAATGCGGGGCGACAGACAAAAGGGCAGAGAGAAGGAAGCAAGCAAGCCAACCAACCACCAGGATGACACCTGCAGCCTGAGAGTACGAGGTAGTGACCCAAATATTCCGTATCAATCGGGACATGCCCCAAAAGGCAAGTATTCAGAAAGTATTGTGGCCATTCCCATCCTTACAAATGAATGTGTAAATAAATTACTCACAGAACTCCAGCCTCTTGAGAGAGTAATAAAGGAGACTGTGGTTAAGTAATGTAAATGATTAAACAAGTTATACAAGTTCCACAACTAATTAGTGAATAAGAAAATATAATGTGCAAACAAGATATTAAATAAACTTACTGAGATCTCAGATCCAGACTGACAAGC